TACACACACTTACACACACACACGCACGCACGCACGCACACACACACACACTTACACACACACACACACACACACTTACACACTTACACACACACACACACACGCACGCACACACATACACACAAACACACACTTACACACACCCTTCCACACACCCTTCCACACACCCTTACACACAGGCCTGAGCGGGGACCCACGAGCAGCAGTTAGGAGGTGGTCTTCGTCGGATGGAGTAAGGAGGATTAAGCCCCAGTTGAGGGCTGTTGCGCTGGAGTGGGCCGCGGATTAAGCGGGATGAAACCGGATTCAGCGGGATTGAACAAGCAGGATTAAGCCGAATTCAAACGAATTTCGGACCAGGGCAAAATCAGAATTTGACCTCCCAAGAGTTGCATCCGAACAGCAGGAAGACAACCGTGCGATCATAGACGGCCCGGATACGCCGGCACGGCCCAGATATGCACCGACACTGCTGTCCCTGTCGTGCGTGACGCGGGTCCCGAGGGAAACGGGTCCTGGGTCCCGAAGCCTTCCCCAGGACCAGCTTCCCATCCGGAGCCGCCCTGTTGGCAGTCCTGGGGCCCATGGAGGGCCCCTACCAGGTCGAGTCAAGAAGCCGTGCTTTCGCCCATTGGCTCGTGGGCGGAACAACGCAGAGCAAAGCAGGACGGAGCACGACCGTGCAGAGCAGAGAAGGCACGAGCCCTGGGGCGACACGGTGTCACGGCGTCATGGGGGCGCCACGGAGGGCCCCATGGAGATCGACGGCGACGAAGACCATCAGGACGCGTTGCGTCATTGGGGGCGCCACGGAGGGCCCCGTGGAGACCGACGGCGACGAAGACCATCAGGACGCATCGCCCTCAGGGCCCCCTTTCGTCCATGGGGATGCGCCCAAGGGCCGCGCTTCGACTCGCGGATCTGGTCGAGTCGGCCGCTCCGTGCCCAATCTGCTGTGTGGAGGGGAGGTCACCGCGGCGAGTGTTGCGGCAGAGTCGACCGACGCCAACGCGCGGGCATCGGCACTCACGGCATCGAATCGATCGAACTGCTTGGTGCTTAAGTATGATGTGTTTGATGTCTCTCTCTCTCTCTCTCTCTTCTGGGACAGGCCCGGCCAAATTCAGCAGCGCTCCCAGATCTCCAGCTATATGGTTTGTTCAATACCAGCAATCTTCCTCGACTTCGGCCTCCAGGGCCCGCTAATTATCGGGCCCTGGGACCATGAGAAATGAATCCAGGAAACTACCTCTGGGGAAGGGATCAGGGCCTCGGACCTGATACTGCCACGAACTCCGACCTTGGAGGACAAGAGGGCGCGACTTGCGGGGAAGAGAAACACAAGGAAGAAAATGCCTACAGGGCGCATCATGCTGTTTCCCGTGTTGTCAGTTTGATGCTGTGCCGCTTCAAGGCGCATGATGCTAGTTCCCGTGTTGTCCGTTGGACGCTGTGCCACTTTGTCAGGTTGTTTCCGACCATCCTGGAGCATTCTTGGGCAGTCTTCGGGCCCTGGGGGCGTCTCCGGCCATCTCGGGGCCCTCTGGTAGGCAGTCTTGGGGGCCGTCGTAGTCGTAGGAGCATTTGGGGGCTTTCTGGGGAAGGAACGGATCCAGGACGGAAAGCTACCCCTGGGAAGGAGGTCAGGGCCTCGGAAAGCCATATCGTCGGGCGTTCCTGCACTCCTGGGGGGGGGCGGCAGGCCCTGATCGACTCGAGCGAGTTGGCCCCCGCTGCCAGCCCCCTCTGCAGGCGCGGGGCCGCCGTGGGGCGAGCGACAGAGGTGATGGGCCTGCTTCCACCACCACCACCATGAGTTGGAGAGGGGAAGGAGGTGGAGGACGAGGAGGAGGAGGAAGAGGAGGACCCACTCCCCGTCCTACATCTGGTGGTGGTGGTGGACAACCGGCCCACCAGGAAGGAGGGGGGGGGCTCGGGCTTGAAACGTGTCAGCGGCAGAATTGGGCCGGCGGGGAGACGCCCAAAACTTCCGCTGGAGCCAGGATGGCTGCGGCCGTCCGCGGGCTCTTCGAGCACTGCGCTGTGGAAAGAAAACGGACAGCGGCTGCGGGGGTGGAGAAGGGGGAGCGATCAGAAACACATGCAACACTGGCACGAAGTGAGCAGTTCTGACTTGATGCAAGCTGTACTCTGTACTGTATCACCGCCACCCCGAATACCGACGAACGACGAGACCCGAGCCAAGACTCTGAATTGTGGAGGGCAGCAAGCACACACGGACGCACAACCCTAGGTTCCACCTATGTGCACGCAAGGTGGGTAGCACAATAACTGACAACAAGACATCCGCCTCGAGACCCCCTCCCCGAGGAAGGAGTGCCTAGAGAGATGACGTGGAGGAGACGGGGCGAGGAGACACGGAAGAGAGGAACAAGACCGATGCAGGGACCCGAGGGGAGGGGGGAGAAGGGACGGGCGAGGCAACGAAGAGACGGACGGGCGACCAGCCCGAAACACTGCTGCGCCAGCCTGATCTCGACGTCGGCTCGACGGAGCTGCCGCCCGCCTCGTGGATGGACGGGGGGCGGGCCTCCGTGCCACAACCAGGCGAGCCTTCTGCACACATGGGAAGCGTGGACGCGCGTGGCCGCAGCGCCACGACCAGGAACGGTACGGCCAAGCCTGCGATCACGAGCAGACTCGTCCGAGAAATCTTCTGGCGGGCCTCGCGGGCTGATATTGTGCTAGCGCTGGGGCGGCATTGCAAGTTCGGCCACGGCCGTTCGCGTGGAGCTGCATGAAGAGAACAAGCCGGCTTCACGGAAGCTTGTTGAAGAAACGCTGGGTCAAAACGAAGGGGGAGAGGGTTCTCAATGCCCTGCGCAACTGCGCATGGCTTCGCGTAATAGGGACCTCCCAAGTTGGGTCCGAGTAGATGGGGTCGGAAGGTCGCGCCGCATCGCCGATGCATCGGGGACGTCGGCGATGTATCGGCGCCGACGGCGTGAAGAAAGTCGGGCTCCACATCGAGCCGCGGCTCGATCATTCGACACCATCTACTCCGACCCCATCTCGGAGGCCTCGACGTAAGCAAGTGGGGCAGCCACGCGATTCCAAATCGTGAAAACAGCGCGGCGCCGCGGGCAACCGCCACCGGGCCACTCGACCCATGCTGCTGCCGCGGAACTTCCTGAGTGAGGCTTGGGGGTTGAGGGCCCCAGGCTGGAAAGCATGGTCAGCCTGGTGTGGGGAGAATGGAAGTCAGGGGGCCAAAGGACACACAAATAAATACACACAAATAAAACTGTTCCCCATGTTTTCGGATATCTTCTGGGTTTTTGTCTTCCCGCCCGATTCCCATGTTTTCCCATATTTTCTTCGGGATCGACGATGAATTGTGTCTGTGTGTATTAACAGGGGGTATGTCGACCCCTATCCCAGGCTTCGTGGGGATTCCGAATGGACCAGAAATTTGGGGCCTAACCCTGGGATATACGATGGGGGGGTGTCCATTCTCGATAGGGGTGCGTCCGAATAGCCCCCTCGGGATGTATCCCAAGATTCCTCCCCTTTTCTGAGCGACCAAACTTTTCTGGCGGAAGTCGGGGATTGGGGGAGAGAAATCGCCTGCGATGTATCTTTCCCTCCTGAGGAAGGTGGGTCCTCGCCACCCCTGTCGCATGGCTGGGCGCCTCGTGCTCTTCCAGTGTGTGTGGCTCTCTGCGGCTCGTGCGGCGTCTTCGGCCAGGCCCAGCTCGGGGGCGTGGGCAACCCGTGCGGAGGAGGAGGAGGAGGAGGAGGAGGAGGAGGAGGAGGAGGAGAAGGGGAGGAGGAGGAGGAGGAGGAGGAGGAGGAATTTACCGATCTGCTTACCAAGGACAGGCGCGAATGCCACCACGGCCGTATCAGTGGCGGTCTGCTCCCCAAGTGCTGAGCTCAGGCTCGTCTCGCTGGGTGATGGCGGACATCCTGGAATTACTGTGCATGGCGGGACAGAGCCTGCGGTCGCATCTTGCGAAGAGAGCCCTGGAGACCTGGCGCAGCAGAGTGAGGCCCAATTTCCGTCGGACCCACGACGGATTCACGTGGTGCCTCCTTTGGAACATCGCCGCGCGAACGTTGTCCCCTATCTGACGGGGTGGACGTATGGACTAGACAATATAACTGTTGCGCGCCGCGCGAAGCCTCTGGGCTCTTCCGCGTAGCGTATTGACAGCGCTGGCCGGCAGCGCCGATACGGCAGCTCAACCACGCGAAAAGTCGGAACTGGCTTCCCTGACACCATGCGGATCGCTCAACCTCGAGCGATCGCCGCCCTCCAGTGTAACAGACAGCTCGATATCGGCCCCAGACATGCGGCGTCTTGTTTTGGAGCACGGGTTCCCTGGAAATTCCGACCCTTTCTGTAAGCAGGAGCCGGGGCTCTGGCGCAGATGGGTCCAAGGGAAGAGGCGTAATAGCACTTGGGATAGATGGCGCCTGGATGCAATCGTCTGCACGCTGGATGCGACAGCTGCGCGTTGATGATGCACTTGTACGCATTATGTCACATGCAACCGTTGTCAACCTTGCGAGAGTTTGCGTCCCCCCTCCGCCGCAATACCTCCGTGTTGGCCAACGCAATGGCACACAATCCAGGAAGACTGCACCTCTCGCCGCCGATCCGTCTGCGCCAGACCCACGACCTCAATTTAGACTCTCCCCAGGGCTGGCCTGTGAGCTTTTTTTTAATTCGGCGCTTTGACATTGGGCGCGACGTGGGGGGGGGGAGGGGGGGGGGTCTGCCTCCCGACCTCTGCTTGGTGCGTCTATTTGCAGCAGCGCGCCCCATGGGGGAAACTCCACCCGCTCGAGGCAGGCACCAAGAAACGTCCAAGATCTACTCCATGGAAGGGGGGGGGGGGGGGGGGGCGCGCGCGGCCACGACGCCTCCCAGCGCCAGGGCCGCCGCGGCGCCCGCGCGGAGCCCGCGCCTGCCGCGCCACACACCGCCAGCCTGCACCCGGCCCTGCCGGGCCCCTCGGCCGGCCCACGAGGGCCCCAAGAGAGGCCCAGGAGGAGCAAGACGCACTGACAGACATCTCGAGCCGCCCCCCCCCCGTCATGGCCCCAGAGGCCCCCCCCCCCCCTACAGAGCCCCCAGGAGGCGCCCCCAGGAGGCCCCCCCGTCGGGCCGCCCGAAAAGCCACCGAAAGAGGCCTCCAAAAGGCCCACCGGCTGACCGCTCCGCGCCCCGCGTTAGCGCCCCGGCGATGCGCGGCGCGTGCTCGTGTTCAGCGCGCGCCCCCGCGCCGCCGCCCTGGACTGGAGAGCGTCGGAGCAGGAGATCGACGACAGAATTGATTTATCGGCTATTCACAGGAGTGACCCTGGTTAAGCGTGACCTTTGGTGCGCGACTTGTTCGGGGACCAAACCTGGGCGCGCAAGCAGCCGGTACTGCTTCGTTTTCAGCCATCTCGGGACCCATCTGCGCCCGCACCAAAGGTCACTCCGGCGAAAGGTCACTCTTACGTCCAGTCGAATTTACCCCAGGAGTAGTCAAATCGGACGCCGATGCCGCGACTCCCCAGGCCTCTCCCGAGGAGCGTGTTGAGCCGAATTGCGAGGGGAAGCCAGCGGGGGCGACGAGGGTGCGCCAGGAGGCCCAACGAGGCCAGGGCGAGGAGGGGCAGCGGTACGCGTACGGCAGGGTCGCGTCGTGTCGACACCGGCGTTGGTTCCTGACACCGCAGGGATCGTTCAAAATTGAAGGATCGGCCCTTTCAAGAAGGCCAGATCGCTCAAGGATGGGCCGATTCTGGGCCACAGGCGCGTTCAACCTCAAGCGCCCGCGCTGGGGTCGCCGCCGGTCAACACGACGCGAACCTGCCGTACCTTCCTAGAGTCTGTCGTCGCGAGTTGTTCATAACATGGGCCCCCAGAGGTCTGGACCCCTTCCCCGGGGCCGGCTGTTCCTCCCGAGTTGTTTTTGGCCGATCCCGAGGCCAGAAATAGCGGAACACCTCCCGTCGATACTGTTTCACTACACGATCACCACACGAATATCAGGGCTCTGCGGCCCAGCCCGCAGCGAGCGCCAATCACCTCCAGAGGCAGCCATACAGTTGAAGTGTAACACATAGCGTTAGCATACGAAGTTTCGTGCTACACGCTATGCGGCGTTACGCTTAGCGTGTGCCGCGACTGGGTGCGGTTCGCCTCAGGTAAATGGGGGTAAGCATGTACACGCTATCGGTTCTCCCTTCCACTCCCTCTAGAGTTCCCCTTGGGGGACAACGCACACTTAGCGTGTACCTGGGACGGGCGCTTAGCGCGTACCTCACGGTATGCGCTAAGAATGCTGCACTCAGCGTGCTCTCCAGCTCCGTTGTTCAAAGGGCTCCGAAGGCACCTTCTTTGCGCGACACTTCAACCGTATGGGGCCCGGGGGGCCGCCCCAGGGAGAGGCCGCCCGCCTGCTGGCGATGAAGAACCCCCGCAGGCGGCGGCGCAGCTCGGGGGTGAGGCCGAGCGCCTTTGCTGGGGGCGCAGCTCGGGGGGCCTCTCCTCGTCTTGAGCAGGGACCGACCGCCCCGACAATCCTATAGGCCTACTACGACATGTTCTTCGAATCCAAAAGTGTGCCCAGAACGAAAGCAGTGTTCTCAGAACACCAGCCCGAGGTACTAAACAAGACAGTCCAAGCAAGAAACGTTCTAAGAACACTCCAGAGAAACTACAACATTGTTTGGTGGGCTTATACCGGGGGCGGCGAAGAGGGGGCGTCCAAGAGAGGGGGGCACTCATGGCCTGCGGCATGTGCGCTGCCCGGGCCAGGGACGCAATGAAATAAGGGGAGGCGACAAGACATCGGGGGAAACATCATGGCCCACGACATGATATCCCCCCCCAGTCATCACACCTCCTCTTGGCCGCCCCCGATGATAGGCGAGCCAGGACGCTTCGCCACTGCTCGATCGTCGTCGTCCTCGCCTCCGCTGCCTCGGCCTGCCCCCCCTCCTCCTCCTCATTCTCCTCTTCCTCGTCCTCCTCCTCCTCCTCCTCCTCCTCCTCCTCCTCCTCCTCCACCTCCTCCTCCTCCTCCTCCTCCTCCTCCTCCTCCTCCTCCTCCTCCTCCTCCTCCTCCTCCTCCTCCCTTTTTCGTCCTCCCCGCTTCATGCTGATGCCCTCCT